CACCAGATCTGAAAATATTGTGAGAGAGAAAGAGAAAAGTAAGCGAGACTAAGGAGGGCGAGAGAGAATTGTCCAAACTTTCTTCATTTTCATTCCCGCCCCTCTTGGGCTATTAATACCTCCTTTGTTTACAATGTATTTTATTTCCCACTATTCTCTTATTACAACCTATGATGCACGGACACGGGACATGGGACACGACATGACACGCCGACACGTTAATTCTAAAAAATGTCATATTTGGACACGTTGGGAAACGTTTTGATATTAAATAAAATTTTTAATATATATAATATGATTTATATTTAATACATATAAGAATCCATAATAAGTCATATAACCAATTAAATATTTAAATTTCATAATATAAATATAAATAATTTTTCGTAGTTTGTTAATTTTTAATGTCAAATTTTATAACAGAAAAAAATTAATTTATAAATTATATCTTTTATATTTAGTTAACAAAATAAAATTAAGATTTAAAAAAATTAAAAAAAAAAAAAACGTGTCCGAGCGTGTCCCCAAATGTTAACCGCGTGTCCCCAAATAATGACCGCGTGTCGGAACGTGTCGGAGAGTTGACCGCGTGTCCCCAAATGTTGACCGCGTGTCCGAGCGTGTCCGACACGTAAATTTCAAAAAAATTCACATGTCCGTGTAACAGAGATTACAACAACCAGAAGTAATAAAGCTGATTAAAGTAAACTTAAATTGACTATTGAAAATAGTCTGCTAAGTAAGTGGGCCTCCTTCTAATACGTTTGGGCTTATCCTCAGCTAGCCCAACGTCATGTAAATTCTGTAGGTAATAGACGTATGTAAATCCTGCATTTCTCTGGCAAGTAGAATAGTTGACTCACATGACATGATTATTCTGTTGCATTGCACTGATTTTGGAACTTATATTATATTCTTGCTTTTGAACTTATATTGCACATGTAAGTGAGCTTGGGGTGGAGAAATCCTTGAGGACCCATTGCCTTACTGAGATTTCTGTTTAGAGATCTCACCCCACGTTTGGGGCACATATTTCAGGTTCAGGTAACTCAGGGGTTGAGACCTCGGGCGGCAGGAGGCCGGAGCTGAGTTAGATATCTATTGTTATAATATGTGTTGGATGCTAACATGCTATTTATTTGTTATTATGTTGTTTGATTTAAGACTCTGTTGGGCTTTGTTGCCTTATTTGGTGAGCATGGGAGTTGCCCTTGCCACATTGTGTTGACTTTGCTGATTTAGTATTGAGTTGTATAATTGTATCAAGATTATGGTATGGACTAGGTGTTGTAGCTCCGTGACTTAGAAACTCACAGTTATATATATATTGAGGTTATTCAGTGTACTTAGCTTTATTGCAATTACATACAGGCAATGTTTTATGAAAAAGATTAAGTAATCAACTTGGTAATATTAATGATGTCATAATTGAAAAGAAAAAGTTATTCCACAATTTTAATTAAGCGTAGCTTAATACGATGACATGATAACAAACCGGGTATACACAGGGTGTTACAGATGGCATACATTTCCCTGAGGTAGGTAGACTTAGACTGCATGAGCTTGGAAAGCTTACGACTGAAAAACGCAATAGGATGAGCCTCTTGTAACAACATTTCTCCTACACCAACTCCATATGCGTCCGTTTCCAGTACAAACGGTAGTGTGAAATTTGGTAAAGCTAGGACTGGGGCATTAGTAACTAATTGCTATAGTGATTTAAAAGCTTGAGTAGCCCCAATAGACCAGACAAAGGCATCCTTAGATAATAGATCTGTCAGTGGTGCTGGCACCATTGCATATCCCTTAATGAAACGACGATAGTATCCTGATAACCCCAAGAAGGCTCTTAATTGAGTGACAGTTTGAGGAATGGGACAATTATTGATAGCTTATACTTTAGATGGATCGGGTGACACACCTGCAGCTGAAATAATATGACCTAAAGATGTAATCTCTTGCACAGTAAATGCACATTTTGTTAGTTTAGCAAAGAATTGGTGTCGTCTGAGGATTTGGAGAACTTGGAATAAATGGTTCTCATGCTCCTGGAGGGAGGGACTATAAACGAGAATGTCGTCAAAGAAAATGACAACAAATCATCTTAAAAGGCCCGTGAACACATGATTCATTGTGGCCTGGAATGTAGATGGTGCGTTTGATAGCCAAAAGGGCATGGCCAGAAACTCAAAATGGCCACTAAGCGTTCTAAAAGCAGTCTTGTGGACATCATCTGGAGCCATTTTAATCTGGTGATAGCCCGATACGGGATCCAATTTGGAAAATATCTGAGCTCCTTGTAATTCATCTAATAGCTCATCCACTGTGGGAATAAGAAATTTTTCAGTCACAGTGATATCATTGAGCGCTCAATAATCAACACAAAAATGCCAAGTGCCATTTTTCTTGCGAACTAATAGAACTAGGGAACTAAAAGGTGATTGGCTAGGTTGAATCAGTCCACTTTCTAACATTTCACTGACCATTTTCTCAATTTTCATTTTCTAGAAATGAGGATATCTGTAGGTCTAACTTGGATTGGTTTGGATGCAAGGGTAAGGTTAATATGATGATTAGATGGTCTGTCAGGTGGTAGGGATTTAGGAGTATGAAATACATCTTGAAATTGGTCTAAAATGGTTTGAATTGATGATGGAATTTGGGTTGTTGGTGGTGTACTATGTGGTTTGGTAACTGAGCTGGTAAGACACATAAAACAGGAGTAAACCGAGTCATGAGTCATTAGTTTGTGTAGTTGGGCGTTGGTGATAGGAGCTGGAGTTATTGAATTGTCCCCCTTAAGAAGCACTTTGTATCCATTATGATTGAATGACATAGTCATTTGGGAATAGTCTGTCACAATAGGGCCCAACGTAGCTAACCAATGGACCCCTAAAACCACATCAGCTCCATTGAGATCTAGAATAAACAACTCAACCATAAAGGAATTGGACTGTAAATTCAAGGGCACCTGATTACAGGAGGCAGTACATTGCAGCGTGTCACCATTGCCTGCATGGACTTGAAAGGGAGCGATATGCTGCATTGTCAAATTCAAGAATGTGGCCATACGCTCAGTGATAAAATTGTGGGTACTACCCCCATCTACCAAGATCTGGCCTGCTTTGCCTTTAATTGTCCCTCCTATGAGACGAAAGGATCTGGAATTGTGGTGACCAAATAGGGCATTAAAACTGATTTTTGGAGAGATGCTATCATTAATGGGTTCATCAACCAAAGGTCATGTATCTGGTCCTGGATCCTCATCGGTTCCCTCTAAATACAATAAGGTTGCACGCCCTTTACACTTGTGACCAAACGAATAAGGCTCATCACAATTATAACATAAATTCTTCTCTCGTTTTAGTTGCATTTCAGTAGGGGAAAGTCGTTTAATGGGTATAGCTGGGATCAGGTTGGAGGTGGAAGTGGCAGATTTGGCAGTATTGGAGGTAATGTCGTTAGAATTATGGGTAAAAAGTGGTTTGGGTGAAGTGGTCCATAAACGAGATGGTTTAGTGTCATTCCATTGGTCTTCATAAACTCGAGCTAATGAGTATGCTTCATGATAATCTTGGGGTCGTTGGGTGAGAACAAGGCGTCTGATATGGGGTTTGAGACCTGATATAAAAATGCTACGAATCAGAGTATCAGAAAGACCTGATACTCTACTGACCAGCTTCTCAAAACATGATTGACATTCTAAGAGCGACCCAGTCTGTTGAATTTTGGCGAGGGCTCCTGCAGGATCCTCGAATTTTGAAGGCCCAAAACGGCATTGTAATGCCGTACAAAAAGTTTGCCAATCTGTCATGAGACCATTTTGATCAGCCCTATAGAACCAACTGTCTGCAGGATCGTTCAAATGAAATGCTGCTAAGTTTAATCGATCCGGAACAGGAACTTAGTAAAATGCAAAATAATGTTCAACAACTATTATCCAAGTGGTTGGATCGCCAGATGCAAATTTGGGGACTTGACGGAATCTGTGAGCATCAGATCCAGAAGTAGACCCAGTGAAAGGGCCAGATCCCAAAATTCCTCTGCCATTTGGGGAAGATTGCTGAATCTCAATCAAATGAGCAAGATCCTGATGAAGACGATTTTGAGAATCTTGCATCTGGATTTGCAATTCTCGAAATTGAGAGCTAGATTCCTTAAGTGCAATGTATTGTTGTTCCTGCACTAATTCAGCAGCACAGAATTGCTGTTCTAAGGTATCTAAACGTTGTTGAAGATCTCTCATACCTGTGTTCTCCGCCATAGAAAGGGATGAGACAGAATGAAAACACCAATTGTAAGCACAAGATCTGAAAATACTGTAAGAGAGAAAAAGAAGAGTAAGAGAGAGTAAGGAGGGTGAGAGAGAATTGTCCAAACTTTCTTCATTTTCATTCCCGCCCCTCTTGGGCCATTAATACCTCCTTTGTTTACAATGTATTTTCTTTCCCACTATTTTCTTATTACAACAACCAGAAGTAATAAAGCTGATTAAAGTAAACTTAAATTGACTATTGAAAATAGTTTGCTAAGTAAGTGAGCCTCCTTCTAATACGTTTGGGCTTATCTCCAGTTAGCCCAACGTCATGGGATGCAACAAATATCGGCGTTTTTGCAGACTATTTCCTAGCTTTTTCATTTTTTTGATATAAATACAATTAGTTGCGATTCCTTATTTTTTGTTGCCATCCCATTTCAATACTTACAGTGCAATATCCATAATTAACTCTCAAACTCCACATAATTTTTATACACTATTTTAATTTTTTTTCTCCCTTATATATATATATATAATTAATAACGACTTCATAAAATTATTTTTCATTGCCAAACCGTTTCATTCCTTATACTGCAACTAGAAATTAGAGTTACAAAATACACCTGAATTCTCAGTAATTGAATGAATTACTTAGCACGGAGCAAACAATACTGATCATAACATAAAGGGCACAACAAAATAAACAAACGCATTTAAGCAGTGAGCTAAGAATGACGCTTAATTAGGCACACTGGAAGTCAGAGGGTGGAGTCTTCTCACATGCATTAAGGAGCAAGCTCAATGAAATTGGTATGTTAAGGTTAATGCCAAGAATGTTAGCTTTGATGGCTGTGCAGAGGCAAACCGCAACCTCAAGATCAAGTAATCCTTCTAGCACTGAGCAACATGGATGGTCTGGTGGTGACCCCACCACTGCACCAATTGGTCCATTAAGCAAATTGGTACATACCCCGAACTTTAGTGCATCTCTAGGACAACCCTTGGTAGCAGGACTCGGATTTGGAAAAGGGAATGGGTTTGGGTTTGGGTTAGGCTTGGGCTGTGGACAAAAGTAGCACCCACTTGCCATGACAAAGAAAAGCAAATTGATGGCTAAAAAGAGAGCAAGATTTGAAGACCCAGAAGAAGCCATTATTTCACTGTAAAATTGGCCAAAGAAAATTAGCAATGAAATGCTGTAATATTTGTGGGAAGGAGGAGTGATTAGGGACGTGGTTATAAATAGTGTTAAAAGATAAGTGTGTTTTTTGCCCGAGATTAAAGAATGTATGTCACAAGTTTTTATGTTTGAGGAACCAGCCAATAGGAAATATTTCATTATTAATTATTCAAAAGCCATGCTTGTTTATCTTTTTTCGCTTTATAGATATATTATTATATCGACAAATTGGCATGTGATTGTAGCACTCCCGTGAACTTCACCCACGATGCGTGCGCTGGAAACGGCCCGTGATTTGATTCTCAGTGGTAGGGCTTGCCTGGATCTTCTTTTTTTAATATAGAGAAGTACATAATATGGACAATTTATGCAATGTCCAACAACGGCACTTGTAAGACCAATAGATTGATTTGGGCTTTCCATTACCAAATGATGAAACTATTTTAATATGATTCCCCATTGGGGTACTTGATCACCACAACCCAATGAAGAATTGCTCTTCGTACTATAATATTATATAGCCCACTACCATTTTATTAAAAGGTCTTACCCAGTTACCTGTTAGGACAAACGTTAATATTACCGAGATTAATTAGTGCACTCATGTAGAATTTTAAGGATGTATTGTTACAATTTTGTATGCTTAGATGAATTGACATTGTATAACAAATGAAATATTTATATATGCTTGTTAAAATTTTAAAAAGGAAACAAAAACAAGCTGTGATTAGCTGTGGATATTTTCTTTTGTTTAGAAGATAATTACATATTAAGACACTACTTGTAATTAATAATTTTCAGGTTCGCAAGAAAAAAATTAGTAATTTCTGAGTCATATATTTCAAAAGCTCGCGTTTAATATATGATTACTTAAGTTGGCTAACTTGTGGTGTTCATTTATACATACTAATGGTAATTAGACCCATAAACTTTTTCTTTTTAATTGGCATTGCAAGTATCCTGTAGAATTGATTCAAACTACCCCACCGTGCAAAACAAACTACTAATTATTATATTGAATAAGTACTTGGAAATAGGAGTGCTCATGTTCTGAAATAGTAGTTTGAGTCCTTTATACCGTTCTTTTTTCCCTCTCCTTATAGGACAAACTGTCCGTATCACATAATATCTCCTCTTCTCTCAAGATAATCATCTTTCATTACCTGCAACATGATTCTCCACATAACTGGCACTACACTCACTCACCAGCCAAAATCGTTTGGTGACAACTCCCCATTCTAGAAAATTTGACAACCATTTATATGCATCACGTTCCTATCCCAAGTTAAGAAGCTTTAGCCATTTGCACTCTCACCCTTTTGCTTAGACCACTCTGAACTATGACGGACCCATGCCAAAAGTATTTGTGAAAAGGGGTGCCAAAGAAGTCAAATATAAAATGATTAATGTAGACATCACTTAACAGCTTATTTTGTTGCGTTAAATTTATTGCATTACATAGTATCACAACTTGTGATCAAATAGTCATGAATTTGATTTTCGCAGCCCCACTCTTCTAATAAATATTTAACTGTGAAATTTTTTAACAACGGTAGGTGTGCCCGTGTGTTAAAGAGGTATAATACAAAACCATTGAAGGCTCATCATCAGTTACAAACTTAAACTTTTGTGTTAGATAAATATAATATAAAATTATTGAAGACCCATCACTTATAAACTTAAGCTTTTGTGATAGATATAATATAAAACTATTGAAGACCCATCAGCTTAAGCTTAAGCTATTGAGTTAAATTAGTGGCTTATCATGGTATTAAAGCTTCTGTGACCGAGGGGTCATCAGTTCGAATATCTCCGCCTCCACTCTCTAGTGGAATTAAGTTAATTGTACAAGGTAGAACAAAAAAAATGGGTACGTGCAATATCAACGCTTCAAGCCTAAAACGTTTTTGTGTAAGGAGGTGCATTAGAGAAATATAATATATAAACCATTGAAGGCTTGTCACTTATAAATTTAATCTTTTGAGTTGAATTGATTCTTTACTCTATTCATCATATACTTCTTAAGTTTAATGAACTATTGTGTAAGAAAAATATAATATAAAATTAGAATTTTATGAATATGATGTTGCGTGACATTTCTTGTTTCATGTCATAGACATACAAACATCTGAATTTGAAAAGGGAAGTGGGGGTAGTTGATGCACTCTTGCCTCTAAGCACTTTGTAGATGAGCACATCACTCGTCTTTCCACTGCAATACACGATGGAACTCACCGCACAGTACTTCCGATCGACCAGCCACAGGGAGACTGACTGGTCTTAAACCATACACAGTTAATTTTCCTTAGATCATAGATCAACCTATCAGTCCATCATCTCAGCTGAACAACGCAAATTCAAATCAAATTTACCAGGGGAATATGTAAAAAAAATTTCAACTAAATCTCTAAGTTTGATTCTGTTTTAAGTCTGATCAATAATTAATTCATTATTGCTCTTTTGGTTGATAGTTTGAGTGAACGGTCACAAGTTTTTTTTTCCTGTTACGTACTTTAACGTCCAATAGTTTACAAGAACGGAACGTTTGGTACAAGAGAAATGTTTTTTAAATAGGTAAATTTGTAATTACTAAGAAAATGGTAGGAAAGTAAGTTTGATAGGAAATTTTTTAAAAAATTGTTTGGTTGACCAAAATGTTACTAAAAAATTAAGTTAAATCTTGTGAGTCTATGTTTGGTTGAAAATAAGATATAGATAGAAAATTTGGTATTAATGAAGAAAATAACCTTTATTTAAATTTTTTAAATTTTTTAATGTTACAAAGATGATGAGGGTAGTTGAGCGTTACTTTGCTCAGTACTAGGACATCGAGAGGGGATTTTTTTAATGTGCTCCAGGCCCACAATATTATTTCATGATCCTTTACTAAAAAAGGAAAAAAATTTCTATTTATACCCTTTTCTTTTTTCAAAATTCCATCTCAATCCATTTTTTTACTATTTTTGGAATGAGAGCTTCTTCTCCCGGAGCATATTAAACGAGCTCGTCGAGAGGGTAGTTTTGTCACAATATTAATCCACTTCTTGCCATTTAGATATGCTTATTGAAATACCACATTCAAAGTGGTCAAATGGCACAGTAGTTTTCTTGCTTTTTAATTTGCACGCTTTTGTCAATGGCTGGGCAACCGTGTTTCATGGGTATATTTGTAGTTCTTTTTTACCATACGAAGATAACTCACAATGTCACTCATGAATGACTAGAGAAATTCACATGTAACCTGAACCAAACAGCCGCTAAAGTAAAATAGCATATCAACAAGTGCTGTATACAGATAAACAAAATGGGTAAGGTTAGAAGAATATAAGTATCATATTGTCTATATGCATATTGTTGGGCGCGGGGTGTTGGTTCTTCTCTTGAACCCTCAAACTGGAATCGAATCGTGCTAGAAAGAATAGATTTAAAAAAGAAGAAAATAAAAAGGAAAACCGGCATTGAGTTAATTGGATTTGGTTTAGACGATTCAATTGATTTATTTCAATTTTGTCAACACTCCTATTTTAGACCAAGGAAAGGATATGCTTAGAGAGAGTTCAAACCTATATAATTTGAAGATTTTGTGTATTTATTGTATTTATAACGATCAATAAATAGCAAGTTATCTCTCTAACTCTTTCGTATCCCTATTTTCTCGCGAACTTCGTAAAAAAAATTAAGCTCTAGATGGAGGGGAATGAAATAATCCATGTAAGACATAATTAAACCTGGAAATTAGGCTCTTGTGGTGTCAAGGGTTGCTTCATCTTCAAGTTAATTAGTGGGGTTTAATCCTTTTTCTAACAACTTTTTCATGCACCATCAACCTTTTAGTGATGTGATTTTGAGAAGTGGAAAACAAGAAATGGTCCACACATAAGATATATCGATCTGGTTATTGATAACCATTTTTAGTCTTATCTTTTTAATTTTTGTCTATTCTTGAAATGCAAGAAAATCCGAATGGACTCTTTAAGCTTTGCTATAATAATCGTTGGTTGTTTTTCGTAGGTAAAATACATGAAAGATGCCGACTTACAAGGTTGGTTTGTCAACCTACCTTTCACCATCGGTGGAAAACTACAACTAATGACGAGACACAATTTGGTTAAAAGGATACAAAACTCAATTAGAATTAACGTAATTTGATTATCATTTAAGCATGTAATTGTTGTTTTCTCTTTTTTTCCCATCACATCCACACATTTTGGAGCCATCCAAATTTTACTAGAAGTAGCGTGATTGAAAAGAAATTAGGTTGCTTAACGCACTTCACATGCTTCAACCGTTTGACATTGAGACCTTCAGCGTTGAATTCTTAAATGAAGAGAGGGAAGTAGTGGTGGGGTCCGTTTTGGTTAAACGAAGCCCGTGACTCTCTAATTTGTTTCTTTCTGATTCTTTTTATTTTTGTACTGGCGTGTGACTCTCTAGTTTATTAATACTTATGATTGCTATTATATTATAAAAAATAAGCTTAATTAGTAGAAGAGCTTTCATATCTAGAATATGTCATGGCCAAAAACGCGTGGAAAACTTTGATTTGCATAGTAATTAGCAGTCACAGTCACAGGCTAATCTGGATTGGATCAATCTTCGGGAAAATATCAAGTTGATAATTACAGATTTGTCTACAAAGGAATTATCAAACGAAGCTGTTTTATTCTGATATAAAAAAAAAACGTTGAATATCGAATCAACCAAAGCAGTGCAGCTAATTTCAGTGCGTACTGGGCTTCAGCTTGTTAGGCTCCTATTCTAGGCTCCTAGGCTTCTCTGGTTTCTTTTTTCAATCCTTAAGATCTTGTGACGCAGATGAAAACAAATTGGCGAGAATAAAAATATAACATAGGTATTGAAATTATAGTTTCCCCTGCCCTGCCTATGTTTCTGGTAACAATTGCTGAGATTGATTACATGTAATGATATTGCCTATCTTGAAAGGAACTGCAAAAAGATATCAGTCAGTACCAAAAAGGTTTAACTAAATTATAATATCAGTCAGTACCGATGCATAAACTAATTACAAAGGAAATGATATTGTCAATGATAACTATTAATGAAAGACTTTTTTATATGCACGGATAAGTAATGCCTCTCTAAGGTTGGCTAAAGTTCATAAATTTTCAATAAAATAAATAATAAATAATATATTCTTCATCGTAGCCAAAAGGCCGAGAAAAGGGCTTTTTGATTATTTTACCTTTCATTAATTAATTAATAACTATTTTGTCCCTTATTCGAAACTATCTACCAATCTGCCCCTCTTTAATCGATTAACTTGAAAATTTAATCGATTAAATGGTCAAAACTGGCAAAAATGGTTGACTTGGAGATTTAATCGATTAAATATTCAAGTTAATCGATTAAATCTCCCTCTTAATTGATTTAATCGATTAAAACTTATATTTAATCGATTAAATATACCAAATTTAATAGGAGCCGATTGCGTTTTGTATTTAATAGGAATCGAATGTGTTTTGTATTTAATAGGAGCTGATTGCGTTTTGTATTTAATAGGAGTTGATTGCGTTTTACAATCTGTAACCAACTCGCAAAATGGTAACTCCTAATAAAATGCAATCAGCTCCTATTAAATACAAAACACATTCAACTCCTATTAAATACAAAACGCAATCAGCTCCTATTAAATACAAAACAAAATCAATCAATGCTTTCACACTCATTTGATATATTTACTCATTTTATTGAGATGTTGCCCATAAAATAGGCTCAGATTTACAAATTACAAATAAATTTGAATTGGTGACAATCTGTAACCAACTCGTAAAATGGCAACTCCTGATAAAACGCAATCAGCTCTTATTAAATACAAAACACATTCAACTCCTATTAAATACAAAACGCAATCAGCTTCTATTAAATACAAAACGCAATCAATCAATGCTTTCACGCTCATTTGGTATATTTAATCGATTAAATATAAGTTTTAATCGATTAAATCAGTTAAGAAGGAGATTTAATCGATTAAGAGGGATATTTTATCGATTAAATCTTCAAGTCGACCATTTTTGTCAGTTTTGACCATTTAATCGATTAAATCTTCAAGTTAATCGATTAAATATGGGGAGATTGGTAGATAGTTTCGAATAAGGGACAAAATAATTATTAATTAATTAATGAAGGACGAAAGAGTCAAAAAGTCCGAAAATAATATATTCTTTAACACTTTTTAAATGCTTTTATTATTATTTGATAAAATTGCAGGCATATTTCAATAAATAATCTGAACTTTTTTTGTTAGTGGATTCAATATACAACATTATTAAATAAAGAGAATATTAAAGATTTTGTTACTAGTATTTTTCACTGCATAATATATTTATGTGCGTACGTCTTTATTTGGTTTTTGATAAATAATTGTCTTTCTTCCCTCATAAATTTATTGGAATGATTTTTTTTTGTTTTAGCATTGAATATGTATTTCATTAGTTTCTTTGATTATCATTATCATCCATTTTAATTATTTTTTAAATGTTATACATATGAAACACATATCTAATTAAATAAAATAAGGTTTTTCTTCTCACTATGCAAGTACAAGAAATCTCCCTTTATTTCATATATGTAAATATTTCATCATTGTTGCTAATATGTTAGATGGATCATTCGTGATTTACAACTTATCTTATGTCATATTAGATTTGACCTAATATTTAATAAAATAGAATATGCATACATTTTAAATAAAAACTATTTAAAAAATAAGTTATAGACCTATTTTTAAAAAAATTGACATATAAATAATAGGTCGACCTAATATTTAACAAAATAATTATTTAAATAATTATAAATAAAAACTATATGATTTTTTGTAATTTTTTAAATTTTTGATAGATCTTTAAGGCATGATAGATTTAAATAGATTAATATGCCTAAGTCAAACCTTTTGATTTTTGAATATGGACCGTAATATGTCTATAATTTAACCAACATCATCCATTTATACCTTTAATTATGGCCTTTCTTCTCCCAAAATTTGTTTATGACTGTATCTGTACCTTAAATTTGTGTATGACTTCATTTAACCAACATCATTCATTTGTACACACACCTTAAATTTCTCTAGACTTTTATCTTTCATAAAATGAGCTAACATAGACACTATTGTCACTACGCGCACTTAATGTCTGTCACAAAGGATGCGGCGACACATTTAACCACTTTTTCCACTTTTTATCATAGGCATATTGCATCTCTTCTATATAGTAGTCTTCTCCTACCTATAAAGGCACCTTCCCAATTTATGCTCTTGTCCCTTTTAAATTTGATTTATATGTTATTTTTGAATTTTGCGAGGGAATATACTCCCTCACAATTTGCGAGGGAAATTATGAAATTTCAGTTGTAATTTTTCATCCTAGATTTTGCGAGAGAACTTCTGTCGCCAATATTTTTCATCGCTAGTTTATGTAATAGACTTATGATTTTTGCGAGGGATTTAATTTCCTCGGAATTGCGACAGAACTGTAACGGATTTTGCGACGGTGTTGTAGTGACGAAAATTTTGCCTATTTTCCGTCGCAATTGTCTTTCCCTTGCAAATTCCGTTGCAGTTTGCAAGGGAATTTCTCCCTCGTAAATTTCTCTCGCTATTCGCAACTTTTCCAATATTGTTCGCCAACTATTTGAACTCTAGTTAAATGTTGTTTGATTTATGAGTTTAATGTTTCTTACAAAAAAAATTTATCTGCCACACTCACATATTTCAAAAGAGAAAATTCAAAAATAATTGGAATTTTTTGGAGATTGAATCCAGTTATTAATTCATGATCTGACATGTAAGGTCCCATTAATTTTTTTTTCTCTTCTCTTTGTAATAAGACCCACTCATTTTTATGTGAGTGTGATAGGAAAAAAATTACCACAACAAAAAACAGAAAAAAAAGTTCTAATTTTTTATTACATAAATAAGCTCAAGCTTGTCTTCACGCTGAATTATATACATCATAATTCTTAAGTTTATACGTTTGGTGTTAAAAGCTCATGGATAATTCATGTGTGTGCATATAATAATAATAAAATAAATTTATATTTTATTACTCAATAAATTTTACTTCTTTCATAAAAATTATAATTAGAGCACTTTCATGTTGAAGTGTTCGTTTTTATATTTATTTTCTTATTTTTATTTTATCTTTGGGTCACATTTTTCTGCAGCATCGATAAAAAGGCTCCTGCTTTTTTTGTATCAGTGACAGACAAATTATTTGAACCGGCCAAAAATAGTTTTTCCTTTATCTTTTTGTATAAATATTAATAAAATCTACTGTGATCCACCGATTGTTGCCAGTTCCCATATTCACAAGCATCCAAAACCTAGTTCATCGGGCCACTCTGTCAGCTAAAACTCATGCTACCTGGTTACTTCATTAGCTCAATTTCAACCAACCCGGTTTATTTTTTTTTTGGATATAATTTATTAATAATTACTGTTCAGTTCAGTACTTACCCAACTCATCACCCCACTTGGTGCTCCAATTAAGATTCCATGAGCACTATATAAACAAACCACCATTCCCAGCAAATAAATCCCATCCTCACAGACACCCTTCTCATAAGCTCTACTAGTTAACTAGTATTTGTGAGTACGTCATTAGTTAAAGAAAACACAAACACTAGCTACTACAAGAGTATAAGATGGCTTCCAAAACTTGTTCCTCCCTTGCTCTTTTCTTAACACTCAATCTCCTCTTCTTTGCATTTGTCTCTGCTTGCGAAACATGCAGTGGTCCATACACAAAGCCAAAGCCAAGACCAAACCCTTCAGGTGGCTCTAGCCCTTCAGGTGGATCTAGCCCTTCAGGTGGCTCTAGCGGTTCAGGTGGCTCTAATGGTTCAGGTGGCTCGTGCCCACGTGACGCACTCAAACTAGGTGTATGTGCCAATGTGCTAAATGGGTTGCTGAATGTGACTTTGGGTCAACCACCAGTGACCCCTTGCTGCACCCTCCTCCAAGGCCTTGTTGATCTTGAGGCTGCAGTGTGTCTCTGCACTGCCCTCAGAGCAAACATTTTGGGTATTAGCCTCAACCTTCCCATCTCACTCAGCTTGTTACTCAATGTTTGCTCAAGGCAAGTCCCACGTAATTTCCAATGTGCTTAATCATTTCGTATACACAACACATCATAATATCACCGTATCTGCTTTTGCTTCGTGTTTGCTAGTTGTGGCTTTCCATTGTTTTTTTGTTTTTTTACTCGCCGATTCTATTCATCAGCTTGTGATTCTTGTACGTGCGTCATGATTAACTGCTCGTTATTCCTTCGTTATAGTGTTTATTTTATGGCCAGAGTAGTGTCACAATGAATGAAATCCCGATGTTTACTTACGTAATTGCATTTTGGAACCAAATAAATGAACTAGTGTTATTTATTTGATTGAGAAATGATTATATTACAAATCATTCTTAATTTATTTCTGCATTTTCTATTTGTGTTTTCGGTGAATAAGATCCGCAGCTGATCATCAGGTAAATCTCTTGGTCCTTCTAACTTTCGCCCAATGCCCAACAAGACGAAAAAAGAATAAACAGGGTAGCAAAAACAGGCATATATATACCAATGGAATAAAACTTTAGTACCATGGTCGGTGGCGCCACATTACTATTATAATTATACATAGTTATAATATGGGATAAAATCTGTTTACAATTTTTTTTTTTTTTGCAAATTACACTAAGTATGACCGGTCACACACTGCATGATTAAAGTATGACTTGTCGTACTTAGTGTAGTTTGTAAGAGTTTGTAAACAAAAAAGTTTGTAAATATAACATGCTCCTTATAATATTAAAATTATTTTAATTTAACTTTTTACGTCAACCAACAAATTTTTTTAAAAAAGAGAAAAAAAAATTAACTCTGTATACTTTTTGGAGTACATATTTAGAATAGTTTCATTACACTAAACCCTTAGTGTGACCATGATACTACAGTTTTATTCCTACGAATGAGCCCGTGAATATATCACTCCATGCATGTGCTATTATTCTATTTAAAACACAAGAAAAAAAAACTCTGATTAAACCATTCCCCCTCAATTTACGATGGACCATTCTGTACGACTTCTGCTCTCTAGCTACTATTAATGAAACGATTAAAAAGTGAGGAATCAATTTGAAATGTGGTTGGCTAAAATTATTAAGTTCATTCATTCTACACAAAGTAAAAAAAACGGGGAGCGATGTTAATTATATAATGGTTTATATATATTTTACCTTTCAAATGTTCGATTGCATACCTGAAACCATTTGGCATCTAGTATGTCTTTTTCCGTTGGACTAGAAAATAAGGAATAAAAAAATAAACTACTTATTCAAAAAATAAAATAAAATCAAACTACTTATTCAAAAAATAAAATAAAAATTACACTACTTATTTAAAAATAAATCAAACTACTTTATTACTTTGTTGTATGGAGTATGGTACACAGGTTTTTTTTTTTTTTTTTTTTTTTTTTTTTTTTTTGAATAGATGTACATTGGTTTTATTGAACTTATGGCATCAAGCGTTTCGATTTTCGAATAGCAATAATTTCGATAAACACTTTATACATATATTGGATCATTAATAGATTCTACTAGAACACAATAATCCACAAGGTATAATAAACAGACATATTTGTTCCTATCATGATGAATAACGCTTGGTTTTGTTCAATATTTTCTTTCTTAAACCTAATTCTTTAATATGATTAACTAATTAGTTAGCTAGAGAAAATAGAAAAACACATAATGGGACACGCAATTCCACATTTCCACTTGCTAGCGCTTGAAGAATTCTGCGGATTCCATTGATGTAACGGCGGAATCGAGTCGCTCATTAGGTACAAAACTTTACTATGCATCCAATTAGCGGTGGGGTGGGCTGGACTGGGCCGGGCTACAGGGCCTACGTCAGGTCAGACTAGATCTAGTATATTTCGTAAAATAGGCCGGACTTGAGCCTTGAAAAAGCTTGTTTAATAAAAAGGCCGTAGGCTCACTTTCACAAGGCCTGACCTATAAGCCTGCGGGCCGGCCTATATTGTACTATTTATTTTAAATAAAATAGAATAAGTATGACTTGAAGAAAAAACAAAAGATATAAATTTAATCAATTGCAATTATTTATAACTTAATTATATTCGATTATATTTTAATAGAAATCTGACTTTATTTCTTATGTAGGAGGAACCAACATCTTAGCATGTTAGATTGTGTATATGAATATATTAAAAGGTTTTTGGGAGATGTTATACTTACTACAAACATCATGGTGTGTTTGTTAGATTCATGTAGTTATTTTAATTTACGTAGTATGGATTTGTTTGTTGGATCTGATGAAGTATATGTTATTTAATTTGAGCAGTTTGCTTTTGAAATTGACTTAAATGCAAATTGTATGAGTTTTGTTGTGATTCATGATTCTGTTTGGACGTTAAAATTATGATCTTTGGTTTAGCAACATAATTTGAGTATTTTATAAAATTGATTCATTGTTATGCTTGGAAGTTAAAATTTAACAGGCTAACGGGCTAGGTCAGGCCATTTGTTTTTTTATAAACGGGTCAAGCCAGGCTAACAGTTAGACTCGTACTAGGCTTGGGCCAAGCCAAATTGAAATTTTTTTAGATAAGCTTAGGCTTTTCGGGACAAATTAAGCTTGGCTCAGCCCTGCCCACTTTCACCCTTACATCAAATGACTGATGTCAGCCCCCACATCACCTCACAAGAATCCAAAACCTAATTCAAGGGTTTGTTCTGCCAGCTAAAACTCATGCTTTTATATAATTATTAGGGGAAGGTTGTATTTATAAATTTTTTGTTTACAAACTATATTATGTCTGACCTGTCAAACTTAGTGTAATTTGTAAAAAAAAATTGTAAACGAATCTTTTCCCTAACTATTAATGCTCCCAAACCAGTTAATTTTTTCATAACTATTATTGATCTGGTCAGTTCTTAACTCATCGCTCCACTTCCGGTGGCTGACTTAGAATTTTTTTCGGTGGGGACGAAAATAAAATTTTTATATTATAAATAAAAGTAATATATTAAAATGTGAACCAAATACAAAAAGTTTGAAAGAATTTGTGCTAAAATTTAAAATAATTTCTTTTTCAATATATGTATTAAAAAATCATCAAGAAATTGGTTATCTTGAAGTTGACATTTGGACAAACAGATTATAGAAAAAGAAAATAACTCGTAAATCCAAACCTTAGCTTCAATAAACACACCCATTAAGCAAAACGAGAATTAAGGGAGCAGCTAAACACACTCATTGTGGTTTGTTTGTAGTCTGCAATATACATTTTTTTGTAATTAAAAATATTTAATAATTTTTTATTTTTGTAAAAAAATCTTAAATAATAATTATTTCGATCCATGAAACTTTCCATGCTATATATAAATAATAATGCACATCATGTTTTGGATTCTTTTGACACCTCGTCTGAGAGCCATTAGATCAAAAAAGATCATTGGTGTCACATGTTTACAAATAAGAGTTTTTGATCTTTTTTTATCTAATTGCTCTCAGATGAGATGTCAAACTTCAAATTTGACACCGGTGTCAAAGGATACATATATATATATATATATATATATATATATATATATATATATATATATATATATATGGCTTATCATTTCTCAAGCTGCCGGAGATAACTTTATCTCCGGCTATTAAATCATAACCGTACAAAGATGGATCAATAGTGATAAAGGAAGAGAGAGAAAAAGAGAATCATAACCATTCAAAGGTGAATCAATAAATATAAGGAAATAAATAATCAAAACGACGTAGTTTTGGGGTGGCCGGAGATAAACTTATCTTGAGAAATGTTTTTCACACACACACACATATATATATATATATATATATATATATATATATATATATATATCCACAATTACTAATTTACTTTAAAAAATAATAAATAAATACAACGACAAAATAAAAAAGGGTCCTAGAGAAGCATTGCCGGCTTCGTTGACATTCGGAATATGTTTACACACGCATGCCTCCAACATTGTACGTAATAGCTATCCCCCATAGGTAATGTGACCATTTAGTGGGTTGTTAGAACTTAGAATACACATTACTCACTGGTACGAGTGATAAACGAATCAGGGGTCTTTGGCTCGGTTCATGAAGATCTGAATTTATATGTCTAAAATTGATTGTTAGCATCAGGTTTAAATTTGTATAAAATCTCGTTTAGTAAAAAGGTTTCAGGCTCCACTTCAAAAGTTCGGCCTTAGAAACTCTTAGGCTGGCCTAGTATATATATATATATATATATATATATATATATATATATATTTTATACTATTTGTAATAGCCATCTTTTTCTTCTCAATCCATTTCACCCCATTTTATTAGTTAAACAAAGTTTTTGAATAATTTTGTTCTATATTATGTTGTTTGGATATACATTGAATTTATGAATATTTATGAAATTACTAGTGTTGTTGATTGTATATTCTGTTTGGATAAATTTTTGTTCTCTTATTTTTTTAAACAGGTTAACACGCTAAACCAAGCTTTTTTTTGTAAATAAGTCAGGCCACAAGCCGATAATTATATTTATAATAGGTAACATGCTTGATTAGGCTAACATATTTAAACACAGACTTAATCTCTTGAGACCAAAGCTCAGTTCGTCTCGGCCCGTTAACAGCCTTCCCAGTAGTAAGTGGAGGGAGATGGAGGGTCCGAATTCCAAACAAAACGGGTCATGTGACGCGGGATTGAGAGGGACTGCATGTGTCTAATGGCAGAACCCGAAAATATAGTGAGGAGCTGAGAGAATAAAATTGACAACACGAAAGTGAGTTGGTATGTATCTAAGATTGAATAATTCTCAAAGTTTTCTTTGAATATAAAGAAAAACAAGGATAATATAATCTATGATTATGTTTATCACGTTATAGGAGATAAAATTATTTGCTACATATGCACATATAAAAGTAGGGAAATACAAGTCTCATGTTGTAGGAGACTTGTTATCTCATGCTATAGACACAAAGCATGTGAGACCCACTCTTTTAAAAAAAAGTAAAAAAATAAATAAATGCTAGCACAACTTTTGATGTATGAGTAGGAAGGGTATGTTATCTCATGTAACATGAGAAAAACATACCCCATAAAAATATGTAAGATCTATATTTTTCTTTTCTTTTCTTTCACATGACTCAACACATTTTTTTGTATGTGTAGAATATAATTTTCTCTCTTATAATACGAGAAACATCAAACCCTGTAATTTGATAAACTTAAAGAGGTGATTGTCCCTCCTAACTCTTCCCTGACTCCACCTCTAAGTTTGTCGTTATAAGTTGCCATGATGTGACACGAAGTTTATAATATAATTTAGGGTTCCCTTTTTCTGTAATTACTGCAGATAAGTTATCTGCAGTAAGCCAATACGACGTTGTTTTGTAACGGAAATCATGGTGTTTTTGTAATTTTAATTTATTTCAGGGTTATAATAGTCTTTATATTTATAATTTTTTAAGATTCCAATACTAAAACGACGTCGTTTTAGGAATAAATGCAGATAATTTATCTGCATTAACTGCAGAAACATTTTTTCCTATCATTTATGCACAAATGAATAACTATGACAACATCTAACGATAAAGAATCAGAAAAATATAATAATAACGAGAAAAGTTATATTTATAAATTTTTTTTTTATAAATTTTTACAAATTTTATTATGTCTTATTGATAAGATATTTTTGAGTAAAATTTTATCGATAAGACATAGTATAATTTGTAAATTTGTAAAAAAAAAAAAGAGTTTGTTAATATAACTCTCCTCGTCATTAATTGGTTTAAGATAATTGAGATTGTCTCACATAAATTAATGTGATATGAGAATATTTATTTTCTTTGATAGGGTTATGAGTCCCATCAATTTCTTGTATGTACTCGTGATTATTGGAGTCTTGGAGCCATCAATTTTTTCTGTGTGCTGGTAGAACTGGTATGGGATGGGGTTTAATAGTCGGGCAACCCTCATGTTCACCCAGTGCTTAGCGTAAGGTTATGCGTTGTCAAATAAATAAAGAGATAAATTTGTACCTCATTTATAATTGTTGGGCTAGAGGTAAAGATTTATTCAAATATCTTGATGATTAATTTTCCCCGACCATGATTGACACTAATAATGGGACCCGCCATTCCACATGCAAAAGCTAGCATTTGAATAATATGGATTCCAAATATCTTAAGGTGGAATCAAGTAGCAGCAAAACTTTGCTATGGATCCACATATTGATGTCAGTCCCCACTTCACCTCCCAAGTCACGAGCATCCAAAACCTAATTTAAGGGTTTATTCTGCCAGCTAAAACTCTCATGTTCACACATGATCATTTCATTAGCTTAATACCTCCCAAGCCCGTTTAAATTTTTATAAACCCATCATCCCCCTAACCCCCTTGGCCCTTAATAAACACCCTGACCACTATATAAACACGGCAAATATAACTCCCATATTCACAAACACTCTTCTCTTAAAAGCTCTAGTAGTTAACTAGCAATACTAAGTATTTGCGAGCCATTAGTTGAAGAATATAAACGTATACTAGCTACTACAAGAGTTTTATATAAGATGGCTTCAAAAACTTATTCCACCCTTGCTCTTTTCCTCACACTCAACCTCCTCTTCTTTGCACTTGTCTCTGCTTGCGGTAGTTATAGTTGCCCTGGTCCAAACCCAAACCCAAGGCCTAACCCAAACCCAAACCCCAATCCTAACCCTTCAGGTGGCTCGTGCCCACGTGACGCACTCAAACTAGGTGTATGCGCCAACGTGCTAAACGGGTTGCTGAACGTCACTTTGGGTCAACCACCTGTGACCCCTTGCTGCTCCCTCCTCCAAGGCCTTGTTGACCTTGAGGCTGCAGTGTGTCTCTGCACTGCTCTCAAAGCAAACATTTTAGGCATCAACCTCAACCTTCCCATCTCACTCAGCTTGCTTCTCAATGTTTGCTCAAAGAAAGTTCCACGTGATTTCCAATGTGCCTAATCATGTCCTATACACAACACAACATATCACCGTGTATCTTCGTTTGCTTCGTGTTTGTTAGTTGTTGCTTTCCATTGATCTTTCAAATCCCATTGCTCAGCGTGTGATTCTTGTACGTGCATGGATGATTAACTGCTCGTTATTCCTTCGCTTCAGTGTTTGTTAATTTTATCTCGTCAGAGTGTCACAATAAATGAATTTCCCGATGCTTGCTTATGTACAAGGGAACCAAAAATGATGAACTAGTGTTACATTTATTTGATTGAGAAATGATTATATTGCAAATCCTTCTTAATTTATTTCTGCTTTTTCTTTTTATCTTTTTGATGAACGAGTCACCCTCTGATTAGGTAAATCATTATATATATATATATATATATATATATATATATATCGATTTATCGATTACTCGACTAATTCGATTCGAGCTGGGTAGGATCACGTTCATAGCAAAGTTCTCCCTGTTAAATTTTAACACAACTGTGTTTTTAAGAATTCGAACTCAAGACCACTAATTAAGTTAATGGAACCCTTAATTAATCAGGTGATTCAGGTACTTGGTGGTATATATATATATATATATATATATATATATTGAAAGTTTTATTATCGGCTTATATTGTATCTCTATCAATTAGCTTTCCCTTTCTAACTTTCCTCCATTGCCCAATAAAGGGAAACAATTTCAGAAAAAGAATAAAAAGGAAAGCTAACATAGGCACTTACTAATGCGTTAGTTCTAGCTACCATATGTTTCACGATATGGAATATTATACTCTCTCTTCTCTTTTTTTTGGAAAACAAAATATTATACATTAATCAAGTATTGGTTGAATGACTGAGGAACTTTACAAAAACATCACATTATTACATTGTTGAACCATTTACCCTAATTTTAAGATAGACCACTTGCACGATTTTTGATCACTGGTGGGGGAGATGTTAATTAGAACGGTTTCACAAATGTATGATTGCATCCTGAAACCGTTTGGCATCTAGTATGTCGTTTTCCCTTGGACTTATTGCATGCAAGCAATTAAAAATCAAACTTTTTATTATTAGTTTGCTGAATTTTTGTCAAAACCAGATCAGATCAAGCATTCTAACCGGTTTAAGCTTGAATAAAATGTCTAGCCGGTTATGATTCAGCTTTCAAATCAAATCAATGGTTAGATTATTGTGAATAAAATTAATTAAAATTAGATTGAATTTACCGATTGAATCCACTCATCATGATTATTCAAAAAAATTTCATTTCTCATAAAACCTTTATATTTTACGTTATTTTGTTTTAATTATTTCTATAACATCATTCAATTCAATTAATAAATTCAAATGGTTGAACCTAATTAGTAAATGGCTGTGGTTCAAGTTCGGTCCTGATTTAACATCACTGCTTTTTTTTCTTTTTTTTTCTTTTAGATTATCCTCTGATAATTTCATATATTTTTTATGGACTAATTCAAAATTTGGGACAGATTAAAAATTTTAAATTTCTTTCAAATATAATATTAGAGATAATTAAATACATACTCTTATCATCACCTACTCAATTTCTATACACCAATTAAACTACCCTCGTTTTGTTACATAAATGCTTTCTTCTGTCGACAATTTGGTGTATCGGTTTTGTTGAAGTTTATGGCAACTAGCTTTTCAATTTTCGAAGCACTGTTTGTCCCGTGACAAACAAAAAAGCATATACTTCTCACTTAGGTGGGACGAGCCGAATTCTTTTCATTTTTATTTCGTACTTCACACAAAAGACAAAAGTAAATGATTCCACGCCAGGTGGGTCTATTCGCAAATAATTTTTTATTTTTTTTGGTACATCTATTTGCCAATATTCCATGAACAAAATTCCGAAGAATATAGAAGACAATCACGTGAAAATTGAAAGCTTTTGCATTTCCATAAAAGGTCATATTGTTAAGATTATAGCTTATTAAATATAATATGAGTATAATTAAAATAAAAAATAAAATTTAAAACAAAAAATTGATATCTTTAGAGCAAATCGCATCATATTGATAAAACAATTTTGCCCAGTGATTTAAAATCCCATTCCGCCTAGGGGTGTTCATCAACCGATTCAAACCGCGAAAACCGAACCGAAAAACCGATAACTGAATAAATCGAAAACCGAAAAATCAAAAATCGAAAAAAACCATAAATTTTAATTGGATTGGATCGGTTTTCGGATGGGTTGATGAAAACCGACGAAAACCGATCCAATCCAAACCGATCCAATATATTAATTATCCTCTACCTACTTGTCCTTTCTTCAATCATAGCCCAAAAGTTTCTAAACTCAAGACCCATTAACTCATCAACTAAACCCAAAAAAAAACTTAGTCACGTCTCATCAACTATAGTATTGTTTACTGATATTTTTGTATTTCAAATTTTTTTTTTACAAAGCCAATATATACAAAAAATGTTAATTGCACAATAATCATGAAACTAATTTTAGGATATTCAAAAAACTGAAAACCGATCCAATCCAAACCGAAAAAAATTGGATTGGATCGGATCGGATTTGAAAAAAAATCTAAACCGAATGGATGATTACATGATCAAACCGAAGGGATTGGATCAGATGAATTTTGCTTCCAAAATCGATCCAATCCAGACCGCGAACACCCCTAATTCCGCCTTTCGGGTTGACCCGGATCAACTCTGATCTTTTCTTTCTGAGAGTTGGGGTCACAAGTTGGACCTATATGCACATCAACTCCTCCGACCCCCAAAACCCAGCGGGTTTCAGTGAATTCCGGGTCAAAGAGGGTCATTGCATGTGTCTTTTTTTAAACAAAAATTACATGAAACAACGTCGTTTTATTAAAAAAATAAAATAAAAAAACTTGCAAGCCTAAATCTAATAGTTCTCTTCTCTCCGAGCGACCTAGACTTGTGGTATCTTGATAATTTGGTATCATTAGAATATGAGTTTTGTACTTTGCTATCTTGATACTTTACTTAGGTTGTGTAATATTGACTTGTGGTTGTAATTAGTGAATTATGTTAAGTATATTTTTAATCTTTGATGATTGGTGATTTACTTTTTAATATTTTCATATAGGATATATATATTTAAATTTTTTTAATATATAAAATTGAGTCAGCATAGTGACCCCGTGACCCCGCGGTTGAACTCGTGATTCCGTGACCCCTGACCTCGGCCGGGTCGATGGCCGGGCCAGGTTTTTAAACACTGATTTTGACATGTCGGGACAGTTTTTTTAATTTGTTAAATTTATTGGGTTGGGTTATTACTTTAGACGGTTAACCTATAACCAAGGAAGCACGGACACTTGCAAAAACAGGGAGAGTCGTGTCCGACACGCTCCGACACGGCGACACGCTCCGACACGGTGTCTGACACGCGGTCAACTTTTTCCGACACGTTGACCATTCCGACACGCGAATTTGATCGTGTCCGACACGGTCAAATGGCATTTTCGTAAAAAAAATTTAATTTTTTTTTAAATTAAAATATATTAATAAAGCTTCCACTTGATCATGCATATCGATTTTATTTTTTTATCTTTTTTTCCCTTAAGTAGATAAGAGATCATCTCAGCATCATTGTTGTCAATTCCTATTACGCTCTTGTTGTATTTCCTTCTCTCTGATCTCTCTCTCTCTCTAATATGATTTGATGTCTCTAGCTATCTGATTTTATATATCTCTCTCTTCCCAGTTCTTATTTTTTTATTAAAGCTTCCATCTGTATAACGTGTTGATGGGTATTATTAATTTAGTTTCATTTTTTTGGTTAAATTATTAAATATTAAATGAAATATACACTATATAAATTTAAAAAATTATTTAATATTAAAACGTGTTCCAACGTGTCGAAATCCATAATTTTTTAGAATTGACGTGTCGGAGTGTCATGTCGTGTCGTGGCACGTGTCGCGTGTCGTATCGGTGCTACATAGCCTATAACAACTATTGTTGTTAAAAACAAAAAGTGAAACGTGTTAAAACACAAGTAAAAATTCTCATCGGTTGAAATTAGTAAAAACTCTGTGTAAAATTGGTACAAACGCAATTTTTACGTTTTTACTTAAACAAAAATTGAACCGGGTCAACTTTTAATCCATAACTTGGTCTTTATTAAATAAAAAAAAATCATATTTCAATTTTCCCCAAATCAAATGCACAATATCTTCTTCTAGTTACCTGAAGAAGAAAAAAACTCTCATGCTAGCCGCTGTATTTCTATTTAGGAATTGTTAAACTTTATTCGTTTAATGTTTTGAAACTTGGTTATAGGAGTTTTTAAACTCTTTTTTTATTTTTGGACTTGTGTCTCTTATAGTAATGTGACTTATATTTTTTAAATATGAAGTTTGTTCTGTCCTTGGGACAGAGATGTCCAGGCCAATGGGCTGGTATGTTTCTCTTGGATCTAGTGCCCTCTCCAGGGTATCTATGCAGGAGATACTCTTGTGTCAAGCAGATCACTGTGCATAGAATACTATAACGGCGTTAGCCGATGCGGTGCGTGTGCGCGCACAGTGACATCATAACAATAAGAGAGAGAGAGAGAGAGAGCGTAACGTACATTTAAGATTTACCTTGTATTTATAGAGGTTACCTGTGGGTAGTGTGGATGAGCCTTTGATGCCTCTGATAAGGGCCCAGGCCTGCTCACTATGCTGTTGCATTAGGATTAGTATCCTTTATAGATATATATCCATGATTATCACTGATTCAGATCTTGGATTTGCCCCTTGCTAGACCTATTACTTAATGGACCCCTTATATGGGTCCATAACAAAGTTGTTCATTGAATTTTGAGTAATAACTTATATATATATATATATATATAATTTTGTATCTTGACCTTAGTATAAACTATCTTGACCTTATAAGTAGTAGAAACTTTACATTTTCATGTCGTTTATACGATTTACTTTTCTACTATTTCCCTTCCGTTTTTATTAAAAACTTGATTTTAATAACATTGATTACAGCTCGTCCTGTAAAAGGCTGAGTTTAAATTAATCGGTTGCGGTTTAAAAAAAAAAATAATCAGGTGCGAGACAAGTTGTATTGATATGCGAGGTTAATTTTTTTTTTAAAAAATATTCAATAATACAATTGATCATGTTTAACACTAGAGATCATCAATCATATTTACGAAAAAAAAAAAAAAGCGATCATCAATCACTGTTAAAAACACTTAACTTGTGGGATGGATAAACCTTTTTCTTTGATTGTTGTAGCCGCGCGTGTAGCCTATATAAAATATAGGAGTTGCTAATATATTTTGTTGAATGACAATTGGTCAAGAAGTAATTTTTATGTTGTTTAATCTTATATTATTTTCTTTCTGCCGCCAAATATTGAAAAAAATTCTTTAAAGGACGTTTTAGAGGTAGCCCAGAAATTATAATAAAACCTAATTCATCTCCCTCTCTAGCTCATGGAAACTCAGGTAATCAGGTTCCTTTAGATGATGCAGTTGTTTTAGGATATTAATCCCATAACATGAAGCGTGCATGGGTTTGCAAAGAAGCCCATCTCTACATCTTCTTCAGGTTCCACTACATATTGGGATGAAGTGTTGTTTTCAATCCATTTACAAAGGTTGAGTTGGCCCACCCCCACTACGAGAAAAACGTCATGTAACCACATTAGTTTAGCGACATTTAGAAAGAATATAAGAAAAAATATAAAATTCTAGGTAAAATAATGCAATAAAAAATTAAAGGAATATTAAAAATGATGTAGATCAAGGTCATGATATGTCCCAATTGAAACATACATTTTCACTTAAACCCTGATGCAAATGTGTGTACGTGTTCTATGAGGGACAGATATAGGAGATAATAGAACAGTCGTTTTATTACAAATTAAGCGGGCTTTGTAGCAAACAACAAAACTCTCAAATTCACAACAGGAAAACATACGAGGGAGAATTAAATTATATCAGTGTAATACTAATAAGTCTTGCACTTAACTAATTTTAGTCGTTCATCTGCCTGCTCTGATGACTAATAAATTATAGTCCATAGATATACATGATATCAAGGACTAAGGATATAAAACTTATTATTCTTACACCAATTTATATCTTTCCCATATATATATATATATATAGTGAGATGAGAGTTACACCAAACCAACTGGAACCCTAATAGAAGAGAAAAACACACGTAATTTAGTAGTAAGTAGTTTCTAGCCTTGATAATACTAAGCATGAACTATGAAGTGCTTGCGGTGCTCAGAGAGGAGGACAAACAAAACCAGGTGGAGGAGTCTTCCCGCAAGTTATTAGAAGTTGAAGTGCAAGAGGAAGGAATATATTGAGGTTGAGAAGGTTAACACTAATAACGGTGCAAAGACAAATTGCTGCTTCAAGATCAAGCAACCCTTGGATCAGTGGACAGCACTCATTCTCCACTGGGTTCCCTATTCCCACATGCACCAAGCCTCCAAGCACATCCAAGCAAAGCCCCAGCTTTAGGGCATCAATTGGACAAGTTCGTTGAGGAGGAGGGAATACAGGAACGCCACCCCCACCGCGTGGCGGAGGGTATATGATTGGAGGGGTGATAATGACTGGCGGCAGAGGAGGGGAGACTTTGGGGTGGGCTCCTCCGTGATGCGGCGGGTGTTTGGGATAACCCGGTCGGTGGTACGGTGGATGTGGCTGAGTGCATGGACCACAAGCATATATTGCTGGTAGAGCATTCAACATGAATATCTTCAAGATGAAGAACAGAGCTTTGATTTTTGATTTTGAAGACATGACTTTGGGTTTCTTAGTAATCATTCATCACCTAGCTAGCTAAAAACTAAATTCTTCTTATTGCTTTTCTATATATGGGGTTTGATCCTATATATATAGTGTCAAACTTTATTTTCGTTATAATTTATTATGAATTAATAAATTAATAAATATATATATATGACCCAATAAATTATAATCGTTATATTGGCGAAAATCAACAATTAAAATTTGATGTCAAATTTTTTAGTTTGACACAAAATTTAACACAAATGTCAAAGGTTCTTATCCTTATATATATAGGAATTAATTTTTCTTATGTTGTAAGAAATAATTTTATTTCTTACGTACATAAAAGTGTGTGAAATACATATACGAAAAAGAAAATGTATACTCGTACTTTTTTTATGTGTATGTAAATGAATCCCGTATATATAGCAGCTGAATTTTTATGTGTCAGAGCAATCGGTGAGGCGGTGACAGTTTTCTGAGTTTGATCCAGCTTTCATTGAACCAGCTAGAATATAATTTTCAACTTAGTAAATAATTAAAACATGGCAGCTGTGTAGAACATCCTCCGAGGCTTCTAGTGAGAGAGAGATAATTGGAGTTTTTGGAGTTTTGTTGGTGGTTTTGTGATTTCCAGAGTGAGTCCGTGACTAGTTCAGTACAATCCGTGAACTAGTTCGAGTTCTCAAACCAGTATTGCAGTTTCACAGATTTCCATTTCACTGTACCAGTATCCCTTTGTTTTTATCACATATTTGCATATTCCGCTTCTCTTTGGGATTCCTTTTCTAAAGCTTAAATAGGAAAAAGCATTTAACCAAAAATATATATATACTTCACGTAGAATTAAATTAGGGTTTGCAAAAACGGAAAAGCACTAGCAGTACTTATTTGTTCTGTATATAAAGTATAGTTTACTTTTATATGATATCCGGCAATTGATTTGACGTTGCTCGCAAGTCGCATACAATTCAATCGACTATGCTTAAAGTTCATTTATTTTCTAAAACAAGATGGATCCATGTCTAGCCAAATGCTGTTAGTGACAGTGTTAACAGTAAATAACGACTCACTTTAAGGATAATAGACCATTAACTAAATTCTGAAAATCTCCAAGTTCATGAGACGCGTTGACGTTGTACATCAATTGTCATAACAAGAAATTCGGCCACATTTTTTTTTCTCGCACTGTTAATCCCAATAAAAGAGAGATCGCAAATTGGCAGAAAATGACACGCAGACGGGAAGCTGCCCATGCAAATTCATAATCATACTCTCTCAAGAAAAATTATAGCATGTGCCTAACACAATAATTAACGTATATTTTAGATCTACATTGTAATAATATTCCACACTAACGATACTTTCTGTTTAGCTATCAATTTGGTATTTTATTTCTTTTATCAACGTGATATTATCATCATATGAGTCAGGTATCCAAAATTCAAGACTTACTATATATTACCTATAAAATTTTAGGAGAAGGTTATAGTTACTACATTCTTTTCTTACTACCTCTTACTAATAAATCTTAACCATTGATTTCCGTCAATCTAACGGTTATAATTTATTGGGTCATCCTTATTAATTAATTATTAATTTCCAATAAATTATAACCGTTAGATTGGCGGAATTCAACGGTTAAGATTTAGTAGTAAGAGGTAGTAAGAAAAAGAGGTAGTAACTATAACCTCTCCCAAAATTTTAAGTCAATATTGCTAAAAAAAAGTTTTATATTTTATTTAAAGAAAAGATAGTCATAATTAAGTATAAGAAAATTTGAAGATCTAATTGAAAAAATGTTTTGTTTAGTTTAAAATTATGATTTATTAGGATTTTAAATTATATATCAATGTTTACAATTAGTATATTTTGAAAATATTACTCGATATAGCCAACGAAAAAAAAAACTATAAAATATATAATAATTTAATCTCAGACTTTTAATGTGTATCCAATATTAACATCATATTAAATTAGTGAAAAATCAAATACATTTGTACTCAAAATAGTAACAAATCACAAATATCGTTATATATTATATTTATTTAACATCTATAATTTAAAGCAAATTATATATAATAAATACATTGAAAAATTGTAATTTAATTCAAAAGTAGATTTATTGAATTCTACGGAACAGTGACCAAAGTGCTACTGTTGGCCAAAAAAATTACCAGAATGCCACGCCAACAGTAAATTTTGCCAAAAGGTCACGTAGCATATTTCGTTACACTGTGTAGCGAAATATGTGTGTAAATAATTCGCTACACAGTGTAGCGAAATATGCCACGTCAGACTGTTCAGAACCAAAAATGCCATGTGTCAAAATTGTAGAAACTCGCTACCATATGTAGCGAATTTCTTCAATTTTGACACGTGGCATTTTTGATTTTGATGTGGCATATTTCACTGTGTAGCGAATTATTTGCACACATATTTCGCTACACAGTATAACGAAATATGACACGTGGTATTTTGACAAAATTTACTGTTGGCGTGGCAGTCTGGTAATTCTTTTGGACAACAATGGTAAAATGGTCACTGTTTCCAAATTCTACCTTAACGAGGTCGGGTAAAATAGAATTTTTTTTCACGTGACACGGCTTGATCTTCATAGGCTAAAGCACCATTTTAAAGTTTTTGGACAAAAGAATTGTCCGGTTAAAGTTGATTGGATAAGTTTTTTCAAAGTAATGCAGTCAAACATGTCACATATGCTGACGGGACTAGTCCCGTCACTGATACTGACGGGACTCGTGCCACGTCAGCGCCACGTAGGCCGTCCAATTACCGTAAAGTTTCGGAAGGCCATAACTTGTGACTCGGGTATTCAAATCAGATAATTTTTTTTTATTTCACATAACTTTTCAAGATCTACGCAATGACACCTCATTTGATATATTTCATCTCCCACAAACATAGTCTTATGGATAAACACTCTTGTGATTGTGATACAATTGTTACAAATTCAAACTATGTTTGTGGGAGATAAAATATGTCAAATGAGGTATCATTGCGTAGATCTCAAAAAGTTATGTGAAATAAAAAAAAATCATCTAATTTGGATACCCGAGTCACAAGTTATGGTCTTATAAGATTTACGGTAATTGGATTGCCTACGTGGCACTGACGTGGCACGAGTCCCGTCAGTATTAGTGACGGGACTAGTCCCGTCAGCATAGGCGACATGTTTGACTGCATTACTTTGGAAAAACTTATCCAATCAACTTTAACTGGACAATTCTTTTGTCCAAAAACTTTAAAATGGTGCTTTTCCCGATCTTCATATCATGTTTCAGAAGTGCCATAATACAAAAAGAAAAATGTTTCTATAGCATAAAAAGTTTTTAAAGTTCTACTGTTATAGTCACATAAAAATGAAAAGAGAGAGAAAAGATTGGTAGGCAGAAATTTTTATGTGAACGTGTCAGAAATTTTTTTCTATAGCGAAAATAGAAAACAATAAACTCATTTATAAATATATCTTTTTCTTTTCCCACTTATATATTCTGTTTTAAATCATGAGCGTTTAGTTGATCCACGTGCTTGTGGTTATATATCTATTCCGCGCTCATTTTCATTAAATTTCTCTTTTAAAAAACATACATCCAAAATAAATGTCCCTAATAAAATAGTTTTTAGCTAGGTTACATCGACATTAATACGACACACGATATGACACGATATTCTAACATGTTAATTTTTAAAAAATGTTAGATTTTGACACGTTAAGACACATCTTGATATTAAATAATTTTTTTAATTTATGTAGTGCATATTATATTTAATATTCAATAATTTAAAAAAAAATAAAACTAAACTTATAATACCCATCAATTTTGCAAAGAAACATAAGATATAAATATTTACTATCATATTTTCTAATTGAAAATCTCTTATACTCTCCAGAGAGATTTATTCGGTATTCATTTTTAGTTTTTATTATATCAGTTTCGTAAAACATCAATCAATTTTTTTCATAATATGTAATGAAATTTTAAATATTATAAATGTCGGAACGTGTCAGAATATCGAAGAATCGGGAAGTGTTGAACATGACTCCTCAATTTTTTTGAAGTGTTTGTGTAACATAGGTTATTAGTGCTAGTGGCGGAGCCACGTGTTACCTGGGTGTGACCTCGGCCCGAGCTATATTTTAACAAATTATACTTATTATAATTATATAATTAATTATAATTTGGCGCTATCAAAAAATTAAAATATATTTGATAAGAGATTTGGGTAAGTTGTATTAAGTTATGTGTTCAATTTTTATTTATATAAAAAAATTAAAATATATTCAATAAAATTAAAAAATACTTAATAAAATTATAACTCTTTTTTAAGCTTCCTGCTCAGGTGTTTTGTATTTAATATAATTTAAATATATTATGATATGAACTAACTAAAATTAAAAAAATTAAATACACATATAATTTTTTGGCCCGGGCTCCGGTTAGAGCCTGGCTCCGCCACTGGTTAGTGCCCAGCTGTAAATATTGTTGTAACAAAAAAAATTCTCTAAGAGTTGCCATATGTCGTTGACGAATTTGACTATATCAAACATGGTCAGGCAAGCAATGACAAGCTATGAAGCACCGACACTTCAAAAACCCTGACGTATCGTGTCTGACACTTTTCGACACTCTCCGACACTTCAACACGCATTATAGAAATTCAAAAAAAGGTTCAAAAGTTGCGTTGCGTTTTTAGTTCCAACTATTAGATTCGTTGGATTATGATTACCATTTTATTTAGTTTAATATAAATATTTGGGATATCTCATGTTTCTTTGCAAAATTGATGAATATTATAAGTTTAGTTTCCTTTTTTTGTTAAATTATTGAATATTAAATATAATATACACTACATGAATTAAAAATATTATTTAATATCAAAACGTGTCCTAACGTGTCGAAATCTAACATTTTTTAGAATTAATGTGTCAGAGTGTCATGTCGTATCGTGTCACATGTCTCGTGTCAGTATCGGTGCTACATAAATCACAA